TGTAAAGGCCCCCAATTACCTACAAAGGAATAAATATGCGACAACCCTTGACGACCGCTCGGACGATTTAGCTGCTGTGGGCGTATGTTTTGTTGCCTGGCAACCTATCTTTATGATTAACAGATCCTCCATACTGCTATGGTTGAGACTTAATCGTCTATCACTTAGCATACACATTACAGTATAGGATACAGTCCTTTTAAAGTCTTTCCATTCTAGTCTTAGTCTTTCGGGATAAAATTCAGAATGTACTAGCGATGGTTTAAAGTGTTTATAACACCACATGATGCCTTCTCGTTCTAATTCATCCGAAGACCAATTTGCTGGGTCTATCCACAGCAATTTCTGAAAAATTATAACATTTTTAAATGAAGAAAATCGCTGGTCCAAGCATTCAACAACTGACGCAACTGCCTTCTTTAAATTATCATCAACATGTTTAATGTTGCTTTCTTGATATCTAACCCCTGTCATAGAAATATTTATGTATTCCTGATTTTCATTCTTCTTTCTGGCATGTCCATCCTGAAGTCCAGATTTACTCATACTATATGTATTACCGCCAGTTGATGTACTTTCTGAAAATATTAAAATAATATCCAAGCTTTTACTTTTCAGCATATCATTGGCATAGTCTTAGTGAATTTTATCTGAAATTTTTACGAAAAAAAACAATGAGCAAATTTATGTGAAATCAGAGAAATTAGGCCTATCCCGCAAAACTTCCATATAAATGACAATTATACTATATTTGATTGTATCTTCATTTGGTTAAGAGGGTTTGTTTTCATTGTGGTGGTTATAATTTATGTTTCACAATGGGTGAGTTCTTGAAATTTATTTTGACACTTTGTTGAGATAGATCTAAAAGTAAGTGCCTCCTTAGTTCTGTCTACAGCTGGCATGACTTCTGTCACTAAAAGATTGTTTTTTATACGCCCACATTTAAATGTGGTCGTATATTGTCGTCGCCCCCGTCGTGGACGCTCTAGAGGCCAAAGTTAATATCTGATTGATCTTAAATTTATACACAGTGTTTAAGGTCATGAGACGAAGAAGCCTATTGATTTTCAGTGATTTACGATAATTACTACCAGAGTTATGGCCCGTGATCACTTTAAAAAATCTTGTGGACGCTCTAGAGGCCAAAGTTAATATCCAATTGACTTTGAATTAATACACAGTGTTTAAGGTCATGAGACGAAGAATCCTATTGATATTCAATGATTTCCGATAATTACTGCCAAAGTTATGGCCCTTGATCACTTTGCAAAACCTTGTGACGCTCTAAAGGCTAAAGTTATCATCCGATTGACTTCAGATTGATACACAGAGTTTAAGATCTTGAGAGGAACAAGTATATTGATTTTCAATGAATTTTTATGACTTGGAACAGCTTAATCCATGATATTAAAAGTTTTGTATACAAAACATTAGCATGGGGTAGAACTTTATAAAAACCAAACAAATTCTAATGGTTTTCTCAGTTGTTGCTCTTAATCAGATTTTAGTGTATTTTAAATGTTTCATTACCGAAAAAAGTAAAAATATGCGACAAGCCGACAACTCTTGTTGACTGCCCGGAAGATTTAGCTGCTGTGGGCGTATGTTTCGTTGCCTGGCAACCTATCTTCTCTAAACATAAAGATAGTTCAGATACACAGCTAATAATCAAGAGATATGACACACAGGTATATAGAAACTGAAAATCCTGTAACTTCTTCAAAATTCCATTCAGTTTTGCTGCTGACTTGGCATTTTTACTTGTCTTTACACTATCTTCTAAGAGTCAAAGCAAGAATTATCCAGTTTTCTAAAAGATGTATCAAACCACGTCTTTGATGACTAATGAATCTAGTCCCATGAACTTTGGGGAATTTCAAAACTCGAACACCATAAATTTGTGCCATTTTGTGAAAATGCTTGAATAGTTTTTCAGATCGTTTAAACTCATAAAATATTAGGACCATGAATTCATATACAGCACTAAACAGGGACAGTTTCATGATAGAGTATTTCAATGATAACTCAATCCGATGAAGAACACAATGAATATCAATCAGCCATTCTCTAGTGTCCTTCATTTGCTTGATTAATCCATTTTTATACGCCAACATTGAAATGTGGTCGTATATTGTCGTCGCCCCTGTCCGGCCGGCCGGCCGGCGTCCACAATTGCTTGTGGACGCTCTAGAGGCTAAAGTTAATATCCGATTGACTTTAAATTTATACACAGTGTTTAATGTCATGAGACAAAGAAGTCTATTCATTTTCAGCGATTTTCGATAATTACTGCCAGAGTTATGGCCCTTGATCACTTTGAAAAATCTTGTGGACGCTCTAAAGGCCAAAGTTGATATCCGATTGACTTTAAATTTATACACAGTGTTTAAGGTCATGAGACGAAGAAGCCTATCGATTTTCAGCGATTTCAGATAATTACTGCCAGAGTTATGGCCCTTGATCACTTTGAAAAATCTTGTGACGCTCTAGAGGCTAAAGTTATCATCCGATTGACTTCAGATTGATACACAGAGTTTAAGAGCTTGAGACGAACAAGTATATTGATTTTCAATGAATTTTTATGACTTGAACAGCTAAATCCATGATATTAAAAACCAAACAAATTCTAATGGTTTTCTGATAATTACTTCATGAGTGTATTATAAATGTTTCATTACCGAAAGAAGTAAAAATATGCGACAACACTTGTTGACTGCCTGGATGATTTAGCTGCTGTGGGCGTATGTTTTGTTGCCTGGCAACCTATCTTTTGAATTGTCAGATATCCTCCCACAATCTCATATAGCAACTTTTGGTCTTCGTGAGCAGAAATTCACCCATGTATCTGTTATCACTCGTCACTTTCGTCAGTTATATAGAAGGATAGCTTGTGTTTTCCTTTTGCTTTTGTCCCTTTCTTTTCTTGAAGTCTTCATTACGCATCTATCATAGCATTGATCTCTGTGTTAAAATTGTATTTGGAATGTGTTTAACCAGTTCTATCACATATGTGATAAATGACTGATACCAATATTGTTCTTTAATTTGTAATATGCTGCCACATGATTGTGATTGACACAGGTAACTCTAGGATGAAATACGCTTAGAATTTTATCATTTTTATATACGCCCACATTGAAATGTGGTCGTATATTGTTGTCGCCCCCGTCAATCCGTCCGTCAGTCCGTCCGGCTTTCACAATTGCTTGTGGACCCTCTATAGGCTAAAGTTAATATTCGATTGACTTTAAATTTATACACAGTGTTTAAGGTCATGAGAAGAACAAGCCTATTGATTTTCAGCGATTTTCGATAATTATCGCCAGAGTTATGACCCTTGATCACTTCAAAAAATCTTGTGGACGCTCTAGAGGTCAAAGTTAATATCTGATTGACTTTAAATTTCAACACAGTGTTTAAGGTCATGAAACGAAGAAGCCTATTGATTTTCAACGATTTTAGATCATTACTGCCAGAGTTATGGCCCTTGATCACTTCAAAAAATCATGTAGACGCTCTAGAGGTCAAAGTTAATATCCGATTGACTTTAAATTGATACACAGTGTTTAAGGTCATGAGACGAAGAAGCCTATTGCTTTTCAGTGAGTTATGGCCCTTGATCATGTTGAAAAATCTTGTGGACGCTCTAGAAGCTAAAGTTATTATCCGATTGACTTTAAATTGATACACAGTGTTTAAGGTCATGAGACGAAGAATCCTATTGATTTTCAGCGATTTTTGATAATTATTGCCAGAGTAATATTCCTTGATCACTTTGAAAAATATTGTGGACCCTCTAGAGGCTAAAGTTAATATCCGATTGACTTTAAATTTATACACAGTTTTTATACGCCCACATTGAAATGTGGTCGTATATTGTCGTCGCCCCCGTCCATCCGTCGGTCAGTCCGTCGGTCCGGCGTCCACAATTGCTTGTGGACGCTCTAGAGGGTAAAGTTAATATCCGATTGACTTTAAATTTATACACAGTGTTTAAGGTCTTGAGACGAAGAATCCTATTGATTTTCAACGATTTCCAATAATTACTGCCAGAGTTATGGTCCTTGATTTCTTCAAAAAATCTTGTGGACGCTCTAGAGGCCAAAGTTAATATCCGAATGATCTTAAATTTAAACACAGTGTTTAAGGTCATGAGACGAAGAAGCCTATGGATTTTTAGCAATTTCCGATAATTACTGCCAGAGTTATAGCCCTTGATCACTTCAAAAAATCTTGTGGACGCTCTAGAGGCCAAAGTTAATATCCGATTGACTTTAAATTCATATACAGTGTTTATGGTCATGCGACGAAGAAGCCTGTTGATTTTTAGCAATTTCGAATTATTACTGCCAGAGTTATGGCCCTTGATCACTTTGAAAAATCTTGTGGACGCTTTAGAGGCTAAAGTTAATATCCGATTGACTTTAAATTGAAACACAGTGTTTAAGGTCATGAGACGAAGAATCCTATTGATTTTCAGCGATTTCCGATAATTTTTGCCAGAGTTATGGCCCTTGATTACTTTGAAAAATCTTGTGGACGCTCTAGTGGCTAAAGTTAATATCCGATTGACTTTAAATTTATACACAGTGTTTAAGGTCATGAGACGAAGAAACCTATCGATTTTCAGCGATTTCAGATAATTACTGCTAGAGTTATGGCCCTTGATCACTTTGAAAAATCTTGTGACGCTCTAGAAGCTAAAGTTATCATCCGATTGACTTCAGATTGATACACAGAGTTTAAGTTCTTGAGACGAACAAGTATATTGATTTTCAATGAATTTTTATGACTTGAACAGCTAAATCCATGATGTTAAAACGTTAGCATGGGGCAGAACTTTATAAAAACCAAACAAATTTGTTACTCTTAATCAGAATTTAATGTATTATAAATGTTTTATTACCGAAAAAAGTAAAAATATGCGACAACCCTTGTTGACTGCCCGGATGATATAGCTGCTGTGGGCCTGGCAACCTATCTTTCTTTTTTTACAGGCTAAAATTCATGCATTTCCAAGAAGTTTATATACTGATACCAAAGTAAAAGTAGCAAGTGAGTTATTATTATGAATTAAGATACGTGTATCAAACAGCATTTTGAAACCAAATATTAAAATACCACTCTCTCATAACCCTTCAGCTGTTTGAAATAATTGTTGCCTGCCTTTCGAAAAAAGCAGAGGACTATTAAAATGGGTTCGTCTGTCTGTCTGTCCGTCACACTTTTTGGGACACAATAACCCTCCTTCTAATTAAGCTAGAATGTTCAAACTTGGTGTAGGTGTTTATTAGGTCAATACCTCGATGTAGTTCGATGATGAGCAGTTTCTGCTTAGGGTAAGCAGAGATAAACAATTTGATTGGTTGATACTTTGAAACATAATAACTTTAGTTCTAATTAAGTGAGAGTGATGAAACTTGGTGTATAGTGTCATTACATCAATACCTTGACTAAGTTCGACAATGAGCATTTTTCTGCTCAGGGTAATCATAGCGATAAGCAATTTGATTGGCCAAGACTTTGGAACATAGTAACTCTCCTTCGAATTGAGGTAGAATGTTCAAACTTGGTGTAGGTGTTGACAGATGAGAATTTTCTGCGTAGGGTAAGCACAGATAAGCAATTTGATTGGTTGATGCTATGGGACACGATAACTTAAGTTATAATTAAGGGAGAGTGATGAAATTTTGTATATAGTATCATTGCATCAATACCTTGACTAAAAGTTTGATAATGAACATTTTCTGCTCAGGGTAAGCAGAGCGATACACAATTTGATTGGTCGTGACTTTGACTAGGTGAATGCTTTGATAGAGTTCGAAGATGAGAATGTTCTGCCTAGGGTAAGCAGAGATGAGCAATTTGATTTGTTGATAGTGAGAGTGAGGACACTTGGTGTATAGTTTTATCACATCAATACCTTGACTAAATTCGATAATGAGCACTTTCTACTTAGGGTAAGCAGGGCGATAAGCAATTTGATTGGTGGAGATTTTGGAACAGAATTAATTGAGGTAGAATGTTCAAACTTGGTGTAGGCGTTCATTAGGTGAATGCCTTGGTCTAGTTTGATAATAAACATTGTCTGCGTACAGTAAGCAGAGATAAGCAATCTGATTGGTTGATGCTTTGGGACACGATAACTTTAGTTCTAATTAAGTTAAGAGTGATGAAACTCAGAGTATAGATTCATTATATAATTACCTTAACTAAGTTTGATGATGAGAATTTTCTGCTTAGGCTAAGGAGTGATAAGCAATTTGATTGGTCAAGACTTTGGAACATAACAACTCTGCTTTTAATTGATGTAGAATGTTTAAACCTGATGTAGATGTTAATTAGGTGAATGTCTTGACTGAGTTTAATGATTAACATTTCAAATAAAAGCTACGCAGAGTTAAGCAATTCCATTGATCGATGCTTTAGGACAAGATAACTTTGATTCTATCTGATAGAGAGTGATGAAACTTAGTGTATAGTTGATAATCAGTTTGATTCCTTGATACTTTTGAAAAAATGTAAATGTGCGATAAATTAATGTGTCATCTATTTATTATGGGATTTCGGCAGGGGTCACCAGCCTCACTGTTGGCTTATGTTTTCAGTTCATTGTAATGATCACACAGGAAGTTTGGATATAAAGTGGATAATCAGGCGAAGTCCTTGTTCTAATGAATATGAAAGTGTAGAGTATGACAATGTAAGTTGAAATTTTTATTGTAACATGAAAGGGCACATAAGATTGGACGACATTACTTTTTGGTACGTATAGCCAATGGTTACTATATCCACTTTACGGCAAGTTTACACCAATCTGATTAAAATTAATTCGGCTATCTTCACTCAAAGTCGCAAAAAGAGACCTTTGCCAATTATCGAAAACACTCTTAATCCCCTCAGACGCCAGTGACGTCACAGTGACCGAATGCATATTCGGAATAATTATTCCTTAATTACCTATATAAAGCCGGCGTGTGTATTCATTAACGCCTGACTGATTCCTTAATCCCCTAATTAAATAAAACAATTGACGACAGAATAATTTGTTATGTAAAATATTTTAATTGAAGACCCAATTTAGCATTTGTTTCATAATGTCCCGCCCCTCTTTTCTTGAAGCTATTAAACCTTTAAGTTAACTTATTTTCCGTAATGAAACTACTTCTTTTAAGACACCATATATAAATTCCCCATCTACAGTGGCACTTTCCCGCGATCTTGATTATCGCATGAAAATTGCTTACTATATAATTATAAGGCAGTGCTTACTACGAAACTACTGTATGTGTTATAGTTATATGTTAACGGTCACGTATGCCATACGCTGAAGTTATGTATGCGTTTTAAAAGTGATTTAACTATTAATGTAATTTTAAAATACCATTTTACGAAAATGATTTGATATAACCACAAGTAATTCTTATTTCGGACGCCTTTCTTTCATTTGCTGCCGTATAAACGAAGACTCGTTATTTTGGAGGGATATTACTGCCGTGAATTTGATTGAAACGGGCACGGATCGGCAAATTTCATTCTAGCGTATTACAAAAACACATAATTTTGTAGGACTATTACTGACATAAATTTGAGTACTATTTGTAGGACTATTACTGACATAAATTTGAGTACCATGTGGCAATTAAATATGAATAAGTGGTTGCCATGCAAGATACACCCATATTTTGCCAGAGATGGGCAGAGAACAAGTTTAATAAAACGCGATTTTTCGTACGACCAAGGGCCATCATCGAGTATGTTACAGTCCGACATGGGCCAATATCTAAAGGAAACAAGATCTTTGGAATATAAAAGTCGAATAAAAATTGTGACATTAAGAGGGACCAGGGATGGGATTTCGCTCCTATATTCCGAACTTGTCCGACGTTATTTTCCAAACGCCCAAAATTGTCCGACTGTGAATATGCCCAATCAGACATCAAGACATGGTGAATAATATTCAAAATTCCAAAATTAATATAGTTTACTGAGCAGTGTATAAAATTTGTCAAGAAAAGTTGTAGGCCAATAGGACTCGCTGGTAGACGCCATTCTTGAAAGTTGTAGGTCCTAACATTAAGTTGTGGGCCCAATAAATATTAACAAAACACACATACACTACACCACCTAAAATGCCTTTATTTCTAAGTTCTAGCTATTTGGGACAGGTTTAAAAGTTAAGATATATATTCAATATTGATTGACTGTACACATTACAATTTTAACTTTTGAAGGATTTAATGTTAATACTTGTGTATAGAAAGATAAAAATCATTCCATCCCTATTTTACCCAGACTTGATATTTATTTTTTCTGTAATAAATAAATATTTACTTGTAGTTGTAATAATCTTAATGATTATATATAGGTCTACTAGTACTAACAATATATAATATCTCGAAATTCCATTCACATAGAAATCTGAAGATTAGGATTAAAATGGCCCTTTACACTCTCCGAAAATTAACAGAAAATATTGTTCATTTAAATGAAATGAAATAAAACTGGCCTTCAGGTCCTTCCAGACATAGATTTATGTCTTACATTTCAATAAACATGTTAAATTTACTCTCCGGTAGCAACAATCATTTTATTTGTTTCATTCATCATGACGTGTGGAACTGTGAAATAAAAGACCCTGACCTCTTTCAAAATGAAAGTAAACTATCACTGCTGTTTGGCAGACGACACATCATTTTTTATCATTATTAAACGGACCTGATGTCACACGTTGGGATAGTCCATATTTATGAAACCATAAACTCTTTGTTATTCTTTCTATATATGACATATTGTACGTGCCTGTTTTCGAAGAAGACTTGGGTCTCCATTACGGTAGTGAAATCGTCATTAAAGAAATAGACTAGATAATCAAGTCTGCTAGTAAATCACGAGATTTAGAAAAAATGGCGGGAAAGGCCACTCGTTTTTACCTCACTGGAATTGTATTGTTACTAGTAGTTAGGCTTTCAGGGAATTTTCAGCTCTGCTTTTTCAATTTCATTTTTACAAGACAAAGAATTTATATCATGTGAATTTTTATTCTTGGATTCATGACAGTACAATAGATGGACTGATCTAGTTTAGTAGCACATGTTTGGATTTCACAATTGAAGGAATATAATATGCCGGATTATGCATGTGTATTCAATATCAGATAAAGACAAATAAGACAGTTAGTAAGGCATACTATCGGAACACACACTCATCTATTCCACACTTGATCAAAATGGTTAAATAATATTCTGCCGAACTCTGGGAGCGTGCTGATATTTGCAACCACAATCTCACTCCTACAATGATTTCTTTCGGTGGAAATTTTATTTTCAGTTCCGATAATGAAATACAGTTAAATGTCTGGATGAAATATATTACGGATATAAATAGGGACAATATAAATATTTTCAAAGGAGAATTTGATAGAACCATGAACAAATTATCCATGACACATATTTTTCCCGACAAAAACAGTCGGTCACAGGGCCGACACACTATCTTCAAAATAAAAAGATGTCGGCTCGCCAAGATATATATTCGCGCTGGGCCGACGGACCAACGTAAATTTTAAACACTGTTACTGAGTGTATAACTACCACTCAACCCGATTATCGTTGATAATACGCTGTATTGATTACGTAATTAAGTGCTGGATTAGCTTCTGATACTTGCGCTTTTGAGGGAGTGTGTCTATTCTCCCCATTCAATCAAATCTATCCAAAAGCACAGCAACATGACAGCCCTTCGTTTAATCAGGGGTCTTCCCTAAAACTTTGGACAGTGATTGAAGGTATTAAAACCAGTGAAAAAGTTGTTCGTCTCAAAACAATATTGTTTACATTATATCCGTGTTGACAGTTGATAACCTTGTTTGTCACACAATTAGTTTTTCTTCAATATTCTGCTATGCACTGGTTAATTGGGCATAATAAAATCATGAGTCATGACGTAACGTTATGTAAACATATTTGGTCCAATTTGGAGCTCTGTTTGGTATTGTTACGCAGTTAGCTATTGGTTGTTAATCAGACTATTGACACTATACGACTGGTACCGTGGAATCTCAGGTAAATAGCGTTATTATCTAATCTATGTAGAATTTTTCATAAATATCATTGAATTTGGCCTAATAGCATTCAATTTGTCCTTGTATACAACTTAAATCTCAACGTGCAATTTTGATTACCAAGCGTTAATTAACTAGGGTTTAGTTTGTCGACACGTGTGTAATTATAAGCGTCCCGCTTAATTTTCACGACTGTTCAATAATTAGTTGGACTGTTCAATTTCCCAGTTGTGATTAAAATTAGTCAAGGTGTCCAATTATGCCAGGTATTCAATTCTGTTGCCGAACATCCAATTTCACATGCGTTGTTCAGATTTTAGCGAAATGTTTATATTGAAGGAGTTGTAATATAGTAATGCTGCCGTGAAAACGTGTACATGTATAATGTACAGGCCGGTTTGAATAACAACAAAATGAGTTCGGTTAGAATTTTTTTCTAACACACTGTACAGTGTACATGCATATAACGTCGGCCAAAATGTATGCAACAATGAACAACTTACAATTTTTTTACAACGTATCATTACATCTTCGTCTATAACTTAGATGTAATCCATCAATTATTGGCTGCTATAAAATCCAAACTTTAAATTATATACGTCATACGATGAGCTTGCAGCTTCAGTTAATCTAAATCAATCATTCATAGAGCACTCGATCCACTCCACGGGGCGCTTAACGGTAAGTCACGTGGTCAGAAACGCGCCAAAAGATTGGGACTATATTCTTAGTCTGTCTGTGTTAATCGGCGACAAATCTCCGCTGTGACAATATACATCTACTTTAAATGTCGCCCAATTCATTTTGGTGGAAGCGGATATTAAATAAAGCCATTTCACACACGTGTACATTACATGCGCATGTCATATATTTATACAATGTCGGACTGCAGTTATTTATATATTTGATCTTTTTTGTGGGTTTAATTTGTTTACAAATTATCGTGCGTACCACTGAACTATAAATGCTTGTATCTTAAAATTGATCACACGCAGTACCGTCATTTCCCGATATCATAACCAACCCCAATTTGATTATCCATTGTTATTAGCCATTGTTATCAGATTAACCAATCTGTTTTCGAAGCAGCCATTATATTGTAATCGTATTTTCATACAAAACAGCTTTTCGCCGATTTACATGACGTCTTCCCGATATATTCGCATTAGGGTATGTTTGTTTCCCTTCTTTCAACAGCTTAGATGACCCTCCTTGGACAATTAGGCACGGCTCCATGTGTCGCCTAGCTTGTTCCATTCTAAAAGCATGCAATCGCCTTTGGAAATCACTTTGGTGTCTTTTTTTTTATTTCAGTCGCTTTATTTGAAACGATTTTCATAATAAGCCGTAGTAATTTTTTATTTTTTTTTACTGCCAATTCTGCTTAATTGTGTGCGCTTCGAAATCTAAAAACTTGACGTAAAACAAATCATGGATACGGGTTTAGAATAGGGTTATAGCATGATCTACATGTATTTGTTAAAGGCCTGTTAATACGGTATGAACAATATGGAATATTAAATATGTGTCCGTATATACCAAAAATAAATCACATAAAACAGATGAATAATACAACGTAGATTTGAAACAGAAAGTCTTCAAGTGTATGCGTAAATATGTTTCCCTTTTGTCTAAATCCC